TTCAGTATAAAATATTATAAATATGAAAAAATATTTTCTTTCCCTTTAAATATTTTTTCTTATAATTGCATCTTTAGTTTTTAATTCGTAGATAATTTCAATATATTTCGGAATAAGTTTAGTATATCAAAGATATTTAAGATTTGTACTTTTTAATTTTAATTTTTTTTTGTCAATAATATTTGTTGATTATATGTATTTTAATTCTAAAAATATATTAGAGGATATTAAATATTAAACTAAAAGATCATTGTGTTAAAAGATCTTTGAAAAATATAGTATATATTACTATTTATATCAAGCTTTCAAAACCTATCATAATCAATCTCATAAAAATAATTACTTTTTTTGTTGATCAAATTAAAAAAGATAAAAAATTTATGTATTTATTTTAGTAAGGTCTATTAATAAGCTAATATAGAAAAGAATAACAATTTATATGGCTAATTTTCATTACAAAGTTTAATGATTAGATTTATATTTATATTTTAATAAAGAAATTATTTTTTGATATGTTGAGAACACGAAATAATCCCATAGAATTTCTAATTTCTATTTTTTGTATTGTAGTCAATCTGCAAAAATATAATGCATCAACAACAACAACAACAACAATATATATATATATATATATATATACTTATTTTTCTTCAACTTTATTTTGATTTTTCTCACTATGTTAGTTGCCGACATCTTTTATTTAAAAAAAATAATAGAATCCATTAAAAAAATTAAAGATATTTTAAGCATTAATTGTTTTTAAAATATTTTTTCTTTGTATAAAAATATGGTTATTAATATTTTAATAATGTAATAAAATAAAAAATTCTTAGTATTAATATATATATATATATATATATATATATTTAAGGTTACAATAAAAATATGACTAATTATTGATAAATAAAAATGCATTCAAATATTTTTGAATTCATGCTACTATTGCTTTAATTATTTAATTTTTAATCAAGTCTAATAATTTCACTCTATCACTAAATGAATTGCATATAATATTATAGAAGACTTGTTTAAAATCAATAAAGTTTAGTTCAAAATGTTTTTTGGAGAAATCTCTACTTTAACCCAATCAAAAAGTTGTTTCTGTGTTGGTGTTTTTATTATTTTCTAAATTTAAATTTAAAAATTAAATATAATATTATTTACATTATATAAAATAACAGAATAAAATTAGAGTGGAGGCAATCTAAAACATTTATAAGTTTTAAAATGTATACAAAAAGATCATAATTAAAAATGGTAGTATTTAGTTGGGAAAATGCTTACAACTACTAATCTACCCTATTTGTAATTCCTAAATTATTTAGTACCAGTTGCACACCAAGTGAACTTGGTGGATAAAAAAAAAAGAAAAAAAGAAAAAAAGAAACAATTTTTTCAGCCTTCACAATCCCCGTTCACAACAGAAACACCAAATACCAAGAGAAAAAATAAAAATATATTAAAAAAATAAAATAACATAAATGCCAAGCCAAGGCCTCAGATACTCAGTCACCTACATTCACCAGAAACGCCATTTGCAGCCGAAACTCCAAACCCCCAAAAAGCATCAGTGGCCGGCTTTCAGAAGAGAAACTCAACCAATATTGCAACCATTTTGTTTCTGAATTTGATGACACAGTTCTTTCAGTGATTTGTGATCACAACAAGCTGGCCTTGTGCAAATTAATAAGTGCAACCATTGACACCCACCCACACATGATCATCAGTCTAAGAAAACCAATATAGACGATTCAATCTCTTCTTCATGCTACTCTGTTACACAAACTCGCTGAGCCAGGGATCAAGCTTCGAATCTAACCCGCTGTGGTGTGATCTGGCTTTCCGCTGCGCCGACTCTCAGTTGCCGAAGTTCCATCTCTAGACCCACATCCGCTGCTACGATTGCCGCAGAGTGAGTGAGTCCACTGCTGATGCGCCTCCTCGCATGTCGACGCCTCTCCTTCGAACATCCTGATGTGTCGTCACCCACCTTCGTTAAGTTTCACCCCAATCGCCTTCGGTCCCTTCCCATGAGGATTATTGCTACGTCGTCCACACTGAGTCACTCTTAGTTCGAGCGCCTTGTCGTCCCCGCCACTGCCGTCAACTTGTAGATACTAGATGCGATAAGCGCCAGCCTGGCCGCCATACAAAAAACAACACTTGCGATTAACTTCCAGTTGTCGACTGCCGATCAGATTCTTTCTGGGCATCGGTTGGGCTCTGCACACTCTAACCTGTTGCTTTTTTTTGCATTTTCTAGTAAGTCTGCTTCCATATGCAACTTCAGCTTTTCTTATCAGTCTCATTTCCTTCTCCTTGAAGCTCCATGTGAGCCTTTCTGTACTCGCTTCTCTTTGATCACAGCTCTGGTTATTAGTGGGTTTGCTTGCTTGTTTAAAGCCAAAAACAAGATCAGATGGAAAATTGGGTCACATAAAACGTGTACTTTGCCTTAAGCCCGTTCTTTGAGAACCTTTTGAACTCCTCAATACAGGAACTTGTATGGGCCTCCTGCAAATTTCTCACTTCGATATCTGATTCGTGCTCTTCAGAACTACAATCATCACCATTCTACCTTTCTTGTTTAACAGTTCCTTATAATTTAATAGAAAGAGCATTAGAGAGTTATTTATCTAGAATTTTATGACATATTATTGCTCTTTTTGGTCATCTATCGTTTTTATTTTTATTGTTACAAATATTGTTTAGATGGGGAAAAACAACCAATTGTGGTTGAATTCTGAAATGTTCCAAATATTCTGTATGTGCTTCAGATATGTGGCAAAAGAAGAGTAGTTCTTTATTCCAAAAAAATAGTTATTGTTTATTATTTTTTTTGTTATTCCTGTTTCGAATTCAATCTTTTACTCTTTGATATATATATTCGTATATAATTGGTTTGATTTTATTTTACATATTTTAAATAATTCTGCCAAAATCATCCATTCTTTATTTTTCCATCACCTTAAAGAAGAATCACATATACCAAACCAACAACAATTCTATACACAGAATGATATATAGATTTTTTTTTTATTTATTATTTTTTTTCTCTTATTTATTCTAGGATAAAAAAATATATTTATTTAGTTATTTTATTTATTTCTATAAGTTTTAACATGTATTTTTTTAAAATTTAGTATATTTGTCATCAGAATACCATGATCAATTTTTATTGTATTTACGTAAAAAAAAATATATATTTGATATTAAATTTGCAACATTTTTCAAACAATTATAAGGTTGGATATTACAAAATATTGGTATAAATCTTTAGATTTTAATATTTATTTGAGTATAATTATATATACTAATATAGTAGTGCATGTTTATAAAAAAAAGTTAAAACTACTCATGTATATGGGTAAAATTAAAAACACAAGTTTTGACATAAATATTTTAAAATTAACTAAATTTAAAAAAAATATTAATCAAACTTAATAGAAATAAATAAAACTATCATTTTTTTATAAATTACTCACAATGTTATCATATATTTATATGTTTATATATATATATATATATATATATATATATATATATATATTAGCTATTAAGTTTTTATCTCATAATTATATATAATTTAATATTTTTAGAATTTTAAAATATGATTAGAATTTTAAAATATGATTAGAATTTTTAAATTTAATAATTTTTCTAAATAATATGTATTTAAAAATATTTAAAAAAAACTGTATATCTTATTCAATGCATTTTATTTTTTTAAATAATAAATTTATAAAACTTGATTGTATTAATAATTTTGATACAATGTTTGGTTTAAGAATCATCCAAAATACATTGGTGCAAGAGAACATAATAATATGGTATATATGATACTATTTGTCAAATATCAAATAGAAGATATTTACAACCTTATCTACTATAGAATGTGTCTTTTCTCAAATTCTTCAAATCCTTATAATTCAAATTCTAAAGTCAAGAATGTCACATAGTCAATACCTTCTTTACAAATATTTGTTCCTTAGGTAGGCATTTATATTATCTTTTTACTCTATTATCCATAGTTTAACAAACTAACTCCAACATAAAGATGTAGACATTGCAAAATTACCTTGTCAAGCATAGCTGTAAGAGTTGATGGTTCTTAGCACGCTTACGCTTGCAAACACCTTTTGTTGAAGCCTGAGCAATACAACACATTTTTCCTTCTATCAAAATATAGCAATGACATAATATTGAATAGACTCATATCTTCTTTCTCAAACTACAAGTCCACATACATTGTTTACTTTTCATCATTTTACTACATATTATTTAAGAGACATATTTATAATCAACCTTGCAAATTAAGCTCTACATAGAAATCTTAATGTACATATCATTTTGTTCAATCAATGGATTATGATTAAAACCATTGATACTTGAAAATATGAACTTCATTAAAATTCATTAAACATACATCCACATTCTTTAATTTTTTACAAAAATCGATTTTATCAATAACAAACATCATGTGATGCAAGGTTGAATTAAGTTCCCAATAATCAATCTTCATTGTGAATAATAAAGTTTTTTTGGTAATAAAGGATCAAACTGACTCATAGAGAAGTAGATTGTATTAAAGTTAACAACCAATCTTTATTACAATAAGTCTTTTTTTATGAAGAAGAACCATGTTTACTTATATTCAAATAAGTTATAAGTAAATCAACTTTCATGAAGAAGAATCTTATCTACTTACACATGAAATAGCTTCAAACTATGCAATATACCAGAAGGCTTATAATACTTCCAAAAATCATTGATGAAAAGCATCTCATCCCACTATTGCATGATTGTAATCAAGTGCAACTCAGATCTCAATAATGAACTTGATCAAAATGTCAAATACAAACTTCTCTAACACAAGTTGCACACAAATTTCCATCACAACAATGAACTTTAATTGAACTTATCCATACATTTAAGTAGTGAATAGATGCATGGATGATTACAACAATCTACCTTCACTTATCTATCACATGTTGCATGAATGGTCTCAACAATCAACCTTCATTGAATTTACCCATACATTCATTCAGTGAATAGAATAGGTTGAGCTTGCCTGTGTACAACTAATAACTATCTATTCACTACAATAGATAACTATCTATCTGCAAGTCATTATAAACTGTCCAACTCAATATCTATCTGGAAGACATTGTAAACTGTCCAACTCATAATATCATGTCTGCTTGGACTCTATACACTCCGATTAGACGATGAAGCTGCAAAGTGGGTGATTGGCAGGGTATCGTTTCAGACGGATCTAATGAGTCCACACGAACGTACTGAATCATGATTCCTCCGAAACACACTAGCAGCATATTTCAAACGATTCGACTGATATTTGCGACTTAGTTATACCTATACAGGGTGACACCGTTGGATGCTTCTCACTTGCAGGAGCTGGCCGTGCTGATGGATCAGACCGTCAGATTGCCATGTGCAGACTGCCTGCCAGCCGATCATCATCCATCGCATCTGTTGGAGATGTGGTCATCTGTAGCTGTTGTATTGTAAAGTGCCTGTTGATGCGGGCAGTGACATCCGTGACACCGTGTTGCTGCAGTCGCTCTTACAAAGTCCTTGAATCCATGGCCACCCACACAAAGACGGAATACTGGAGTCAGGTCCACAGTCGCTCCCCTTAAACAATCGTTCGCCAGCGGATGAGAATGAAGCGTTGTGGAGCTCCACAATATGTGACTGCGTACGAAGTCAAGTTCTGAGCGAGACGCTACTTTTCATAACGCAGCCTTGAGTTGTTACATTGTGGATCAGTAGATTTCTGATCATCTCCGCCACTGGCCAAACGCCTCCTCACGGGATATTTTTAATGGTTACTACTTTCAGGCACGCTCGGTGCTCCACGGACCAAGTCCAACAGCCAACCCAACATATGCTGGATGACATTGTTACGGACTAGATTCTCGTAGTAATGCCCTAGAAGTACCTCATGAGGCAAAAAGCATAATCAACATTGCACAGATGTGCGCACAAGACACCAGTGACATCACCGCGTGCATCCCGGAGCACAAACACGCACGGCAGGATAATTAGGTGGCTTAGTCTCAACCAAACATTCTCCGCAAGTTGTAACCTGCATTACACGGCGAAAGAAGCACCTGAAATTCTAAGCGAAACGAACATGTTCCAGCTACAAATCGCTGTAGATCGTCTGAGCCAATGCGGCAGTATATTACGAGGCTCCAAGCCTGAAACACGAGAGTGTAGTGTATACATGACTAACCGCTGTTTCAACAAACTCAGCCAGCACTACTACTGCACAGAAGCCGCAGTCGAAACTGCTTCGAATACCTCTCTTTGCAGCTGACACAAGCGCGGTACACGATGGGCCCGTATCATCCTACATGGACCACATACACTGGTCGTCCCTACTACTTAGCTAGTCGCTTCAGAGAGACGACACAGCCTGATTTCAAATGATTACTATCACAACTGCCTTAGTCTAGTTTGCAGACAAAGACGCGGATGACTATAAAAAGACGGTGCTCTGGGATGTTCAAGAAATGCCCAAGGTATCTCGAAGATAAATTCGAGGGCCAAGTGAGAAATGTCGCATCCCAGCTTGCTCTGACTTGCGGAACATGTAAACAAATCCCACAAACAGCTACCGCAACGGTGATAACAAGTTGACTTTGCACTCATCTTACAGGTTCACCACCTTCGCAGCACCACACCTGTACATCCTTCACAAGATCTGCACGTCTATCATAAAACCAAAAGTCATAAGCGTCTGACGCGAAAGACGACACCAAAAATCTAGACTTAAGCAAAAGGCATCGAAGCGAGGAATACAGTGTTGAAATCATCCATCTAAAGTCGAACATAGACTACTTGCATCATAATTCCTAGTTACACGAGGGGACTTCCTTACAGGAATATTCACCCGCAGGTCAGCCCCAGCATCCGCACGCGTTGACAGACTCCCATGATGCCGAGACAACCAATCCCAACGTGGCCGAAAAGAGGAAGAGACACGGAGAGCCATGCAGACTGTGAGGGAGCTGCACGAGTGAGCCACACAAGGCACAAGCTAAATTCGCTCCATCCCTCACAGTCTGGCCAGCTCTCTCTGTCGCTGCCTCGTCATGCACAACCACTCATCTTTGTCGCATCGCTCCCTGCCTCCAATATCAGCACCTCCAGCAGCACCATCCACCTTTAAGCGCCAGGCCTTTCGGACTCGTTCGCTCGCACACATAGTACAGAAGCTTCGGATTCGCTCTCGACGTCATCGGTCAACCGACTCCCACATTGCGCTGGTGCAACAAGCAAAGAGAACAAAAAAAAGCCTTAGAGCGGAGTAATCCAGGAGCCCACGGCCCAAGGTACTGGTAAAGCCTCTCCCGCCCCCATGTGGAGCATTACTTCCAACGAGGCGGAGCAAGGAGCGCCACGAGCTGCTTGTCGATCGTTGCAGTCAACCCGTCGCCCAATAGCGGAGGGACCTCGTGCCTTTCTGCAAGGGCCTCCTTGCTCGACCACACAACCGTGCCACTGGAGCTGGCACTAGGATGGTTATATACTATCCCCGGCGGTTGCAAAACAAAAAAAACATGGAACCAGCAAACTTACTTACCGATTATTCTCGCCTACGCATGGAGCTCCCTCGTAGCTGGGCCATGCTATCTCTCTGACCACACCAGGTGCAGACGGGGGAATGTTCAGTGGTGCAGACCTTTTGCTTTCCCTACTGTAAAATAGGATGCCGTGAAAATGACACCGCGGATTGGCTGAGGGGACCGTCCACCGACGTGAAAACGCCGGCACGTGGTGCAAAAGCTCATGCTTGGTAATTCTATAATGGCGTAACCGTCATACTTGCATCCGTCGAAGCTGGAGGCGATTCCAGCACCTGTCGTGGGATTAAAATCATAGAATAATTCTGAAATTAATAATTCAATAATAAATTGATACACAGTAAACTGCGAGTGTTTGTACGTGAGTGATCCAGCGAGGGAGGTGCGACTGGAAAGTCACGGCCCCTCGCTGGATGAGTGCCTGTCGTCACCAGCTAATCGTTACTCCTACGATACTGGTTAACGAACTCTGTGTCCTAATACACCCTCAACCATATCGTGGTGAAGGTGGGGTTGCTTCTCCAAGCAAGCCCAGTAACTGCAGGTGCTGGGCGAGCTTCGGCCTAGACAGCGATTTGATAAATAAATCAACCCGAATATCATGTGTTGAACAATACCAAAACTGAAATTTGTTGAGTGAATATAATTGTCAAATGAAGTGATATGGCATAGTTATACGCTTTGTATTGGAATAAAATTTTGTTGTATCAACAAGTGCCAACTTCAATTGATTTAGCAATAGTCTTTCTATCTTTGGCGATAGCCATTTTAGTTTGATACTATATCAGATTTGAGTGATTTTTTAATCTTTTTGAGTGACACAAGAGTATATTGATTTTTTAGTTCTATGAGGTTCATGTCTTTGACAGTTGACAAGAGTATTAACTTATTGTTCTTTTCTTATTTTAGAAGTAAGTAGGATTATCCCACTTCTATTATTGTATTTTGAAGGTTGCAAACTATCGACCTCTAAATAAACAATTTAGTTTTCTAATACTGATTTTTTCCTTAAAAATATTCACCTTTTTGGTAAAAATTTTCATTTGATATTAGAGGTTGTGAATTATCTTCCTCTAATTTAACTTTTTGAATTTGTTTAAGTTGTCTATAGAAGAAAAGATTATAGATGCTACTCTCAAACAAAAGTGAGAATAGATTTGTAACTATTACAAATCTTCATGAACTTGTCAATATTTTAAAAATAAAAATCTCATATATTTTTAACATGAATCATAAAGGTATTATTTCTACACATATGAAAGAAATCCATAGTCTATGCCAAAAAGTTGTGTAGTTGAAGGAAGCAAGTAGATTAATCTTACAAACAAATGTAGGAAGTCTCACTTCTACAAGCACAAAAGAAGTAAGGATTAGTATACTTAAGAAGTTTGATAGAATAAGATCAAAATTTTGAGGATTTTTGCAAAAAATTAAGCTCTATTTGAGGTTGCATCTTTTCCATTATTTTGATGAATTTACTCAAGTTGGATTCATAGAGGCACTTCTATCAAGAAGTGTTCTGTCTTGATTAACATCTTTGATGGAAAACAATTCACAATGATTCTATGATTTGAAATCATTCTTAGAAGTATTTATAGCTATATTTAGAAAAAGTGATAAAAAAGGCAATAGAAATCAAGCTTATATTTCTATAACTGAGATCATATTTAGCCACGACATATGCTGCTAAATTCCAAAATCTTGCTTGTGATGTAGATTGAAATTATAAAGTTCTTATTAATTAATTTTGATATGGATTAAAAAATAATGTAAAAAATTTATTATTGACGATTCCAAGAGTAGATTTATTAGTACAATTTATTACTTAAGCACATTGCTCAATATTATTCAAAAAAGTAATGTAATCACAAAATAAGGAGCATGGTTACCAAATATATATATATATATATATATATATAAATAATTTTTTTCAACCACAAAAAAAATTATATGGTTAAAATCTTACATAACTCCTAGATGAGAGGTCCCATTGTCTCAGATCTTTCATCTTATTTTATAATAGAAAATTATTTAGGACCAAAAAATTATAAAGTCTTAATCTTGTTAAATTTAAAAGTTTTAGCTTGTTTTATTCACAAAGACTTTATCAAAAAACAAGAAATATTTTTAATTAAAGAAACTAAATCTATACATATAGAAGTCATAGATGGTCATTTAATGTCTTCTAGAGATATTACACATGAGATTTTTCCTTTAGATTTAGCAATTAAAGTTTACAATAGTGTAATAATATTTAATATGATGAGATTTCACTTCAATTCAATTATTTTAAGATTATTATAATTAAAAAAATATATAATTTTTAAATAGATTGGATTTTTATAACCTTAATTTTTTTATTGTTTGATCCAAAATTTTGTTAGTCAACTAGAAATATATATGATTTAGTATATCCAAATCTTTACTAGTAGATGCAAAAGCTTTCATTCATGTTGCAAAAAAATATCATTTTTTGCTATACATACAATACCTATTTTTGATGGTAGAAAGATATCAAGTGATATTTCTAGTATAATAGGATGTAGATAAGATACTTGTATTATTGACATAAAGGGATAAATAATTGGAACCATGTTTGAGAAGTTATGAAAGTTTATAGAATTGGGGCTAGATTAATAGACTTATAGGATCCATTGTGGAACATTCTAGAAAGAGCTTAAGGCGTTTATCTAAGTGTGACTCACCATAGAACCTTCTAAAAAAGACTTAGGGTGGTTATTTATTTAGGACCTATCATGGAAACTTCTAAAAAGAATTTAGGGTGATTATCTATGTGGGATCCATTATCTAAGAACATTCTAAAAAATCTAGGATAATAGAACAAAGTATAAATAGGACTAGTTAGGACCTTCTAGGCATTTGGTCAAGTATAGCTTTAGAACTTCTTTCTTAATAAAGTTTGATTTTGTACCTTTCTGTTCAATTTTATTTTTTTCTATTTCCATTTACATAATCTTGTTCTATTTGTGTCTAATTCTATTTATTTCTATTTAGTTTTGTTCTGGTGCATTTTATCCTACTTTGTGATCAAGTTTTATATGGCTGTGAATTACAAGAGTCTAAGACTCTTAAGATAGAGTGGTCATATTTTATTAGTATCAGAGCAAGTATTAGATTGTTTTTTGATTGTGTATCAATAACCATTATCTAGTTCGAGATCTATTATTGTGGTTACACTAGATATTGTATTGAGGCTATCAGGAGCTATTCCTAGAAAGTCAATGAGAAGGTGAAAAGGTATTAAAATAGTTGAATCCAGTGAAGAAATTACAACATAAAAAATATGGTGGAATAATCTAAGATGGAGGCTCAAATACAACATCTCTTAGACGAGATAGCTACTTTGCAAGAACAAATAGAAGCCAATGAGATAAGAGAATTAACATCTGCTAGAGTGAAATTGAATAAGCTCAATACATACTTAAGAAGTTTAAGATAAGAAGATATATGTCAATGGTTCTTCAACATGTGACAATACTTTCAACTATTTAGAGCAAATACCATTGAAAGAATTATATATGGAGCCAATTATTTGGAAGATGTGGTGGCTATTTGGTAGCAACATTGAGTTCAAAGTTATGGAGCTAAAGGTGGATTTTTTGATTGAGAGGAGTTTGAAACTAAGTTTAAGAATCAATTTTGGTCCATTAATGCAAAGAAGATAATATGCAATCAGTTGACAAATCTTACACAATCTAGGGTAATGCAAGATTATGTCTCTTGATTCAAGTTCTTATATTTCTAAATTGATAATATTTCAGAGGTAGAGATAATAGATTAATTTCTACATGGTTTGAAATCAAGGGTCTAGCAAGAGGTAGAATTAAAAGATCCACAAATATTTGAAGAACCAATTAGGATTACAAAGAAGGTCGATGCTATAGATTTTAGATATCATAGAGTATAACCTATTGTACAAAGTCCTATGTTGCTAACTAATTTTATAGCACAACAACCAATGCCAATAAAGATTTATGTCTTACAAGGATCATTGACACTACAAAGACGACAAATATTGGTGCAAAAGAAATTGTGTTTTTATTGTCAAGAGCAAGGCCATCAAATTCAAAGTTATCCAAAATATCAAAATTCAATCACCAACAAAACAAGGTGGAATCATAGTCTTCAGACTCACTAAGTCGATAGTGAAATAAAGCAAAGAAATAAAGCTCTCTAGTAAAGGCACCAAGGGCCAATATTGGAAATAGATACTATTTCTCAAAGACAAATGGCATGGCCTTGGACAACTATAAAAAGAGTCAATTGATGCATCTAATGGGACTATTAAAAAGATAGCCTTATCAAGTACTTGTGGATTGTGGCTTTATAAAAAATTACAACTTGATTAAAATTTTTGACTAATTAGGATTTAAAACTTAGGTAATTAAACAAGGGAGTATATACCTTACAGATGATGAAGAAAATGTATTAAGTAAAACATGTAAAGAAAAAACCTTGAGGTTGACTAAAATCTACGTCCTAAGGAAAAGGTTCAAAGTAACAAAACCAAGATATAATATTATCTTTTATATGCCATAGTTGGAGGTGGAAAATAAGCAAGTTGATTAAGTAGTAAAGATAATTTCGTTCAAAGATGGAGGATGCAAGATGACTCTTTGTACCTCCACATCAAGTGAAGAAAAAAAATAATCTATAAGTAAAGATTTACTCGTAGAGATGATTTTTATCAAGAAGAAAATATAGCATAAGAAATTGGTATATATGATGGTTCTAAATCTTACATCAATGGTGGAAAAGACAACCAAAGGAGTAGAATAGGCAAAACAACTCATATGAAAATATTGACATGTCTTCTCAATCAATCTACCTAGTGGCATGCCTCTTGATTGAAGTACCTTCTTTCAAATAAAACTATTATCTGTAGCCAAACCAATAAGTTGGCTAATTTATTGCCTAACAACAAGTGAATTTAAAAAATTATAAAAAATATTAGATAAATTTTTAGAAAAGGGCTTCATTTAAGAAAGTACATTGCTATGGAAAGCATTTTTATTCTTTGTATCCAAGAAGGACGGTGGATTTTATCTTTGCATTGACTATCGAGGCCTCAATAAGCATACTATTAAAAATACATATCCACTTCTATATGTGGTTGATCTTCTTCATCAACTTTGAAGTGAGATCATATTTAGAAAATTAGATC